GTGGACTTCAACTCCCAGAATTCCCCAGCCAGCCATGCTGGCTGGGGGATTCTGGGAGTTGTAGTCCACACATCTTAAAGATCCCAAGGTTGAGAAACACTACTCTAGGGGCAGGGTGCTCATGAATTACTGGCACATTCCTCCCAGCTTTTTGGAAAGCAGCAAATCTCTCTTCCTTGCAACATTTAGCTGGATCCCAAAGAGACTCTCTGCCTTTTCCTTGAGGAAGCAGCATGTCTGCCTGGTCATATTTCAATCCCACTGTGGGATGCTATCATGGCGAAAATCTATCTGCGTGGTGGCTAGGAGTCGAAGACAACTTGATGGCATATAATCAAATCAATCAATCGTGGGATGCTATGTTTTGTTCCATTCCAACGTCCTATTTCAAGAAAGGCTTACCAGGTATATAAAATGCCCAGGTTTCTGCTAGGTGAGAAGAACCGATTCTCTACAAAACCAAGCTGTACATAATAGCTCATAAGCATCTCAACTCCAGATTCATCTCTGCTGGGGGTCCGGCAGGCCTTTGAATATATAGGACAGGTATTAGTTATAATGTTGAAATGTGGGCCATGTGAATGCTTTCATCTGCTTGGAATTCAGGAAATCATTAAAAACAGGACTATCAGGAAATCATTAAAAACAGGACTATTTAAAAGGGCCTTTGGGTTATAGATGTCACCATCTATTTGCATGGTCTTCTAATGTTATCCATGGCTTAATGATTGTATATTTATTACATAAAATTATTTGTACCCTAGATGTTTTATTGTTCAGACTGCAACTTGCCAAGAGTCTCTCAATTGTGATGGGCCAAAAATCAAACCCATAGATTCCACACTAGAACAGAGCGCTTTGTGGCACCTTAAGGCTAAGAAAGAGATGGGTTCCTTGTGCAGAAAGAGCAACATATTCAAAGTACGGAATGATATCTGGAGTAGTTAGCACATTGGCAAACGTTTTGTGGACCAGAGGGCACATTTGGGTGCTGAGATCACGCCCCAGGCAAAATGGCTCCCAGGGAGGGGGCATTCCCCAAAGCCCAGCCCCAAAATATGCATTAAGCAGAACCCCAAGTCATAAGATTTTCTCCCAAGCATTTCTTCCAACCAATTCTCCAACAGCAGCACGTCCCTACCCAAGAGGGGTGTGCAAGCATTTCAGATTCATAGTGCCCTGTTTCAAGCATCAAATTCAAAACAGTTATTTCAAATATGAAACTGGTGTTTCCCATTCAAAACAGTTTTTGGATGCTCTATGTTTACTGTTTGTTTTCAGCTATCAGGATCAAAGGAGCCTCAAAGGGAAGGAGGAGGAATAATAATATTTATTTATTTATTAAATTTGCATGCCACCCATCTTTCAACAACTCTGGGTGGCTCACAACAAAGTAATTACAATAAAATCAGTAAAGCATAAAGGTGGAGAGGAGGAGGAGGAGGTGGCGGCAGCCTGAAAGATAAATGCGCTAGAGACTGATACTGTATTTTCCCTCTATTATGTTTAATTAAAATGAGAATAAAATAGGGACGGGCTCCTTCCCCCTCCCCCCTAAAGACTGAAAATCAAATAGAGCAGTGTTTCTCAGCTTCAGCAACTTTAAGGCGTGTGGACTTCAACTTCCAGAATTCCCCAGCCAGCATGCTGGCTGGGGAA